TCTATACCAAGCTAAAACAATCATAGGTGAAGACATAGGTTGCTTCACTTCAACAGCAACAAGTTCGATATCATTTACCAGAAGATCTGATCTTAGTTTGTGGCTAAGTTTGTTTTCATTAACGTATATTGCAACCCCTATCGGCAGGTTGATCGAGAATGGTTGTATTCACCACAGTTGTAACATCCAAAGTATGTGCTGGAGGAGCCTTGTCGATGGTAATCGTCACGCTTCACTGCATCACTGTAGAGAGGATACTGATGAGCCAAACTCTGATGTGGTAGGGAATCATAGTGACCATCATCATCATATTCAGCAGCTGTCATCGTATGTTGTAGATCACCATTCATTTGTCTGTAATATGGATTTGTCGTTCTCGAAGTTGTTAATTCTGGGAAATGCTGGTCAAATTTTGGATTTGTTTATCATTTACCAATGTTTGGTTGGCTTTTTAAAAAGTTTCAGGTTTTGAAAAAATGGCATTTATCAGATTTGACCTTGTGTTACCTTTAATGTGTATAATGAATTTAATTTATGGACTGAAGTGAGTGTGAATTGTTTTATTTTTCACAATTGGCCAAAAAATTCCGCAAAGAAGTGCAAAATATTGGTGTGTTAAGATAAATAATGCTTGAAAATTCCATTTCAGTAGCTTTGTGTAGTATCCGTAACACCCTGTTGTGTTGCTGTTCATAAAATGGTAACCAAGATAGTTTCCTCCAGGATATTACAGGGTATTAACCCTAGGGTATGGATGGACAATTTGGGGTTGATGAAACTGCTCTATTGCATACTTCATTTTTGGACCCAAGTGCAAATGATTTTGCACCCTGATTGTGGCTAAACCGATAGCAAATCATAGACATGGTCAATGCCCATAAAAGTGGTCTGGTGGAGGCCGATATGCTTGAGTGAACTGACTTGATGTACCGTATAGAATATACATTAATTTAAGTTTTTCAGTGTTAAGAAGGCTTAGGCGTAAAGGGATTTACTGAAAGGACCAAATAAAATAAAAAAATAAACATAATTGGCATTAAATTCTTTGGAGTTGTTGGTTTTACATTAAGAGATTGCTTGTGTTTATACGTATATTAATTTTTAAATACAAAATTATACATTATGCTCTAAACCTCGTGTTTAAGGTACTAATATTAAAGGGCATCTTAGTCAATCGTGTAAGTTCATAATTATTAACTGAAGTGCCTAAAAGTCTTCGTTTAGTGACATTACGTGTGTTTTAAACTATTGGCCGATGACATTAATAACATCTGTCGTTCTTTTCGCTTAGGTCAAAGTTCTAGACATTTTGTGGCACCGCTTTATGACAGACTCATCATTTTAACTTTGAATAGGTAACTCATTAAAGTGATCAGGTTTCTCTATTTTACGTAGTTGCGATGCATAGGTGAGTTGATATCTTCTGTGCTTTGTTGTTGTTGTTTTAATACAAGTTATGGTTTTCATTATACAAATTGTTAGCTGTTTAAAAATCTTGTTATACTGTTTCATGTGAGTTTGTTTGTTGATTGTGACGATCTTTGCCTCTGGATGTCAGAACTATAACGTGATTTGTTTTTCTTTCTACGAATGCTTATGGCATATTTGGTACGCCTTCTCCTTTGGTTTCCTTTAGGACAGCATGAAGTATGTATGTCTGATTTTGTTTGAATGTATCATTAATCTTTACCATGCTGTATGTTCATAAATATCGGCTTTGAAACTTTCGTTTATATATATTTGACTTCCAATTACTTTTTTTTTAATTTCGGAAGATAAGTTGTTGCAATCTCTTTCGTCACAGTGTTAAACTTGTATATACATATATAGGACCTAAATATTATACAAGGGTAGCGCTAGGCCCAAAATCGCGGAGGTTCCTAGGGACCCCTGCACATATTGAGGGTCCCAGCCAAGGTCTCGGCAATTTTTTTCTTCTCCTCTGCTCAATGCGAGACAACAGTTACCTACAGTGCGTCCCAGAATAAACGAAACCGAGAATTATCGATGTTTTATCATAACTAAATCACAATTATAATTTACAAATGACACACTTTTATCCCAAAATCTGGCTAAAAAACACTCCATTAAGGAATACAGGTGCGCAGAAGACGTGTGGGGTTTGGGGGTGGAACCCCCCTCAATTTTTTTTAAATTAAAAAATTAAAACAAAATTGTGCTAATGGGTGACCAAAAAAGGTGACCTTACCCCCCCCCCTTAAGATAGATCGGCCAAATTTTTGGGACAAAACAAAATAAAAAATGTGCTCTTACACCCCCCCCCCCCCCGCTTATTCAGCGGCTGGCTGAGCCGTTGCAAAAAAAATTATGAAATCCTGGACAAAACAAAAAATGTGTTCTTACCCCCCCCCCCCCCCCCCCCCCCCGTACGCGCCTGACTAATATAAATTATAAAGGCCTTTGACGAGCAACCCTTTCAGGGAACCTTTTAAAAAGTTATAACATTCTTCCTAACTGAGAAGGAAACAAAATGCGAAAACACACAAAAAAAATACCTTTCCCAGAACCTAAGGTTGTCTTTAACCAGTTTTGGGGTATGCATAATTATTATGGAAGTACAAAGTAGGCCTATTTTTGCGTCATTCCGAATTGACTCAAAAAGTAGGCAACACGCAAAAAGAACAGACATCCAAGATACTGATCAAAGAATTTTTAAAAAATGAACTCGAAAAACAAGAGGATTGAGCAATTTTTTTTTGATTGGTTTGTCTGATTTTTCTGCTTTTATTGAAAGTAAGCTATTTTTCGAGTGGACTTGTCCTTTTATAAAGAGCCATTCTAACCAAAACGGGTTAAAATTAAAAAAAAGACATGTAGAATAATGTTTGACGGAGATTCCGAACATGACAATGATTTTTCTTAATAGAAATCATCAACAATTCTGAAATCTAGCTTTAAAAATAAAGACTCAGAACGCTAAAAAAAACAGCCCAGTTTCGAAGTCAGTGTATTGCCAACTGTTTATGACGTCACTGCAGGCGCCTCTCCGGTGAAAAGGAGGATGATTTAGGAATTAAAATGTCTTTAAAAATGCAAACTATGATATTAATTGGGGGAAAAAAAGACGTTTTTCCGGAAAAGAATATGCACTTGATAATCCCAGTACGTTTCCAGTACACACTTTCGTCATTCATAATGTAAGATCCTTAGTTGTAGGACAAATCGGACATGCGCGCAATTAAATGTCGTCAAATGCGTCATCAAGGCCACGTGACCGTATTACTCTTTTTCGAGGGGCGTAGCCCAGCAAGCGTGAGAACTGTGAAAAATAGTAGGTTATTATCATTTTTTGGTCAACTTAGAGATTTTTTGAAAAATCAGAGGCTGGAATATTAATATATAAGTAGAGGTGTATTCATGTTTTGAAAGGCTGTGTTAGGTGGGTAAGAGTAGCCTTTTAAGGTTCATCATTCCGAAGATTTGCAATACCAAACATCACTTTACCATTATACCAGATGGTTCATACTTTTGAACATGACATTGTTGCGTCATTCCAAAAGTTCGATAAACCAAAGGTTCGTTATTCTGAGAGTTAAATAGGGTTAATTTTGTATGGACATATCCATATCTCTATAGCTATAGGGCGCGATACATTATAGGAGGAAGGGAGAGAGATAGAGGGTAACAATAAAGAGGGCGTGTGTGACGGAGAGACAGACTGAAAGATAAGTATTGACAATACCACGTAGACAACAGAGAGATAGAGAGGGAGAACTTAAAGATGTAGAAGAGAAGGAGAGAGAGAGATAGAGAGAGAGAGAGAGAAAGAGAGAGAAAGAGAGAGAGAATAGAGAGAGAGAGAGAGAGATATTTCAGATGAATAGCTGATTTCCGATTTCTCACTGACCGATTAATGCCAAACACACAAGTTTACTTCTTTTGCATTTTAAGTTTTCTTGATCCTCCTCCCCTCTAATCCTCCATCTGACATGTGTTCTAATCTTCCAATGAACTAACAAACCGTACAATATTTGTTAACCAAACCGTTTGGCAAATTCATTAGTTTTGTCCATGACCATAGGAAATATTCGAACACTGCTATGTCATGAAATTACGTAATTACAAGACAAACAGTATGCTCCATTGATTCAATGTATTATTGTTGCAACGAAAACATTATATTTTAATATGTAGATCTCTTGAGATACTCGCTTCTTTTAATTTATTTCTTATTAAATTAAATCAAACGTACCTTACAGAAAAATATATTTGTTATAAGGATAGATCCATTCAAATATTTCGCAAGAAATGGAATGTGCTAGAATTAGGATGATATAGTAACCTGTTATGTTGTCCGTCCTTTTTCTTTGTTTTTATCCATACTCTCGGTTTCTACTCATACTATATTTATAATCATCTTGTAATATGATAATGATATATTTAAAATATATGTGTTTCATTTTAATTTGTATTATGTATGGATGTTTTAACTAAATACAAATAAAAAAAATTAAAAAATGAAATTACGTAATCTGAATCTGATTTCTGAAGGCAGTACAATAAGGTAGGACAACTGAAATTGTCCTTAAATCTATTTCTTGAAAGTCATTGCTATTTTGTTATCCCCAAACGATAAAGAGGTTCCTGGTTGCATTATTCTAAGGTGCGTTTGATTTTGTCGGTATAATTATTAATCCATTTGTATAATAAAAATAGGCCAGTGAGCTCTATAAAATTAACCATCTACATCAATCCCGAGTTGTAACTCTGTAGAATAATGAACAGGTAATCAAGATTTATAGATGTCGCCTTCGTATTTATTTGAGCATGACCACCCATAGATGGAAAAACATGATATGATATGAATAAGAAACACAGTTTTATTAAAAAAAAAAAAATCTCCATAGGCAGATAAGATTGATCTAAAGCAAGCAAGTTCCCGTCAACCATTACGGGCAACACTAGGTACACCTCCACACATTTTGAATTATAAAGGCAATGTCTGTTTAATTAATTAAATTCAATTAAAGTAAATTCTTAATATTCACATGTACATTAAACGATCAATATGTTTCGTTTCACACTTCTGTAAAAAATGAAAGCTAATTTGTTTCAGAAAATTCAGGTTTATAGCAACAGAACTATTCTTTCCTAAATAAAAAGAAAATCTACCATGAAATTCAATAAACATTAACAATATTTAGAGAACCATCGACAAACGAGGCCTAATTTTATCAGAAACTTTATCACTGTTGTGTATAAAAACTGAGGTTTTCACTCGATCACTGGTATGTGTCTGAAACTAAGGTGGACATTTTATCACTATTGTGTGTAAGAAACTAAGGTTTACACTTTATTACTGGTATGTGTATGCAACTATAATGTATATACATTTTATCACAGTCTGTCGTGTGTATGAAACTAAGGCTTACACTTTATCACTTGTGTGTGTATGAAACTAATATATTTTAAAAGCATAACAAGAACTGTGTCAAACTATACACAACGAACAAACATTTATTAGTAGGACTTTAGATAGTACAGACAGCGCATGTAATTTCGTAACCGTCGATGTAGGGTCCACAATCCAAGCCCCCACCCGCCAGACACCGGACTTCTGTCATGAACAACAACCCGCCTCCTTGATTCCCCTGGGTCCCCGCTTTAGGAACCATCTCTCGGTCCACACACACGAATTCCGATCTCTTGGTTGTGTATTTCTCTGCCATAAGATAACCAGCGTACTCTAAACGCCATTCTTGAGAAGGACACACGTTGCGGGCAGGAATCATAAGTTTGCTGGTGCGGCCAGAGGGCGCCCTGCAGACTGCACAGGTCGGAGTCTGGTCATGCATTGGTTGCATGCGTGAAGGACCAGTATTGAGTTGGTATTCAGTAGAGAATAGTAGGGCTCGATCAGCGTGTGTGGAAGTTTCTACTTCGTCATAGATAGGCTCTTCTGGCATGCAGAGATGATTTGAGCCGCTTCCAGTATGACCGTAGTGTGCACCTCCAATAGAACCTGAATAAATCACAAAGCAATGTAACACAAACAAAGGTAAACCCACTTAAGTTCAAATTCATCAGAAACTAATTTCAGACTGATGTGGGACCAATGACAACCACTGAAGGCAACTCCGAAACGCAAACCATGTGATCTACTGCCTGATGACATAATCTACGACACGTCTACGACCCATGACGGCATCTGAATTTGGCACTTGGGCTAATTCCCATGGTTGGTAATGGGATTACATACTTGTATAGGTCATTAATTTTGTCAAACAATTAGCACAGCGGGTACGTCACCGGAATGTGGATGACATGGTTCGTGTTTCGAGTCCCGCCATTAGTATGCTTTGGCGATACATTAATCTACATTTGTCACTCTCTACCCAGGTGAAGTAAACGGGTACCTGGAAAGAATTAATTATTTCAAACATTCTTAAATGCTTTAAGAGACTTATGGCAGCGAATATAGATGACTTCAGGAAAATTATATTACTTGTAGGCTCCTTGAGCATCCCATAGGATTAATATTTGCGCAATATAATTGTACATATTATTATCTTAGCAGTTATAGCCATTGTAGCTATTGCTATCCTAACATTAGTGATTGTTTATTATCTCTTTGTTATTGCATGACATTCACTTTACATTTTTGTTTTATCTTGCATATACTGTATAAAGAACGGTCAGACATTACAATAACCCAAAGAAGTTTGCGTATTTTGTGCATTCACTTAATTCCCACCGTATCTTGTGCACTTAAGTTTCCGCCAGTGATACTATTGAAAGCATGTGTTTCGTTTGTCGCGATGAAGAACCTTTTGTTGCACAAAATACGATGAATTATAGGTTACAGCATACAATTAAACAAGATTGCAAAGACTTTCGAAAAATGAACTCGAGGATATTTCATACCGTATTGTGTATTCAATCATGTTTAAATACTTATGTTAAAGTGTTTGCACGTTTCAATATGACAGACGCACAAAGACTAATGAAATTACATGTGCTGGATTTTCGGAAAGTCCTTGCAATCATGGAAAAAACATGTGCAGAGTTTTCCCCCATGTGATATTGCCTGTGTGTTCCAACCTGAATAGATGAGTTCTGCATCTTCGGGACATACATCGTTGCCCCAGCGAATATAGATGACACCAGGGAGACTTGTAATGTTACCTACTGCAGGCACTACCGTATCACCAGCTGGGTTTGTTTCGTCGCTGGGTGAAGTGAGTGTTTCTTGAGCTAAAATTTTAAACATTCAGAAGTTTTATTGGCATCCATAGAGACAAAATTCAATTGTATTTCAGACGTTTGGATATCTATATTCGTAGTATTGGAATGCCATCATTAGTGGTAAATTCAATCGGGATTATAAAAAACAGGATTCAGCCTGTGTGTACTTGATCGTTGTTTGAAGGGTGTTTCCTCAGCTAAAGTGTTAAACATTTAGGATTTTTATATTTTATTTTATAACCGATATTATCCAATGTGGCTTATAATAAATTAAGCCAAACAAGCTACAAACATATGTTTTGTGTAACTTGCCCGGCTTATATTATGTTCTCATCATTATTAATGACTAATTTACACGTTTGCCTTTTTAAGCGGCAGCTGTTATTACATTAGAATGTGAAAACCACACACCATCGAGTGACCTCCCACTATCCATCTCCATATTGTATTTTTTGATATAGGCTTATACAGCGTGAGTCAAAAAAAAGTTTACACCTAGAAAATTGCTAATTATTTTAAAAATCATCTATGAACAGTAAATTATTATACATCTCATGAAAGAGCGTTTTATCCCAAATCCTTTTGTAACATTTTTGTGTGGTATGTGTTCACACTTGGATGAACAGGAGGCACTGTTTGCGAGAGTGCAAAAATCGACTTGCGCCAAAGTTGCTTATGTGATGTTTGAATAAAACAATTGGGGTTTGGGTATTAATTTGGTCTTTGCAGATCCAAATAACATCCCTAACAAAATTAATCTTGCCACACATATCAAATAACGAATATCAAATATCAACGAACATTTATGCGCGTGTGTGTGTGTGGGTGTGTGTGACTTTGCCCTTTGCAAAAAGCATATGTAATGCATTTCATTTGATACATTCAATTCACTCTCTCACTCCGCTAATCCCAACATAATACATACTATAGGCATCACTTTGGCGCATGTCGATGTTTGCACTCTCACAAACAATGCCTCCTGTTCATCCAAGCGTGAACACATACCACACAGAAATGATACCAAATGATGTGGGATAAAACACTCTTCCATGAGATGTATAATAATTTACTGTTCACAGATGATTTTTAAAATAATCAGCAATTTTCTAGGTGTAAACTTTTTTGACTCACACGGTACAGGTAGTATCTATTTATTGTGTAAATTTTCAAAGACAACAGGGAGTTACAATATTCGTGTTTTCAAATATCTTGAATTTTATTTCGCTAGCTCTGCATTCTCCGGTTTATGAATGTTATACAAGTTCTGCGTGCGTGCCATATCGTGTCAGATGTATGTTGTTATAGGTCTACCTTGTGGAATCGTCGACGCATCCCGTCCGTCTCTGCCATCCCTTCCGGCAACCCCTTGTGGTCCTGGGGGACCTATTCGTCCAGGAACACCAGCAGGACACAAGAAACATTGACCTAAAGAAGAAACAGCATATATTTATATGTCGTATCAAGTAAAATAGCTCTTTCTGAAGGTTACTCTCAACCTGGATGATAATGACCTACGTCATACGTTCCATTGATAAATTTCTTATTCTTCTACTTGACTCATAGATATTTTAGTTTCAAATGTTGATATCTCCTTTGTTCGGACTTTCAATGCATGGACTTTACGTGGTCAACATGACCTATGGCTCTGGAAGTTCGTTTTGGTATTGAGGCTCTCTTATGTTTCTCTTTTCTTCTAGTTAACGCATCTGTTAGCCTCAACAGTGTTTCTATCTTCATGAAGTTAACCGGTACTGTCCTAATGCCACTAATGCAGTGGTTTCCGATTAGATTTCCGAAATGTTGAGGCCTCAAGGCCTGCCAGGTGTCCAATGCCCATTGCAAAAGATACATTATTTGCTGATGTATACGCAATCGACTTACGGGGTCTAGTATTTTTTGGCATGCCTAGGTGAGAGTATCATCATTCGCAAGGTTAATGAAACGTGAACATTAGATTTCTTGGCGCACGAACTAATTTTTCTACATAGTTGAGCCTTTGTGTGCGATAGGCATTAGAGAAATAAGAAACGTCTGGTCTCTGTTTCTTAAGACTTGTTATCAATAAATACTTACAATAACTATCATAAGCTATACTGAAATCATTGCATTTGATTTGCCGAGAGGAAATTTGTCATATAATCTTAGCATCTGTTATCGAATTTTAAGAACCTTGGACATGGTGTTCATACCAGAATACATAGGCCATGAGTATGGTCCGAATGGGTTCTGACCCAGGCTTGGCTGCTCGGCGCCTGATGATGTGACCGATGTCGGGACAGTCGATGGCGAGTCGACTTGCCTTCGACGTCGTGTCTTTTCAGGTTCTCTCAGCTCAAACTCGGTCCCGACAGAGTCAGGAATGTGAATCTTGGCCATCATTGATGGATTCTTCGCGACGAGCTCGAGAGTTGAGAAGGAACGAGTGATCTCAGCAACGGATTCCTACATGATTTTGTAGTTGAAAAGTTAAGATACATTAAAAAAAAATTATTAATACGTACCCTCGATATTATTTTCTTTTATTAAGGCAGTGTTGATATTGAATTGTTTTCTGGTTTTGCCTTCCAACCCTACGACAAGTTGCCAGTAGACTATAGGCATTTTGGCCACAAACAAGTTTATTAATTGTCCGCCTTCGAGTAGTATTAGTATATTTTGAAGATTTTAATCATTCATAAAAAGATGAACTAAAAGGTGATCTGAAAGTGAAGTATAAAATTACACTGTTTTAGTATAAATTAATCTCTATAATCCGTTAAAATGAAATTAATATGTGCAAGAATAAATAGAGAAATATATGTGTATAGAAGTTGGCGTTGTATGCCTTGTGTCGACTAACAACTCTCAAATCATGTGTAATGAAAATAGGCCTACACGAAAGAAAAATTGATACAGGTCAAAACGTTTTTTTACACACAAAAAAGAGAGAGAGAGTTGTCCCACATGAAGTCACTATGATTTACTTTAACCATCCATCCAGGCAAATAAGATTCTCACTCGTTGAGTCGTGAAACGAAAATGAGAAATTCATTCCTTGATGATATTGATTTTCCTTTTCCATTTTGGTTTCTGAAATATTTGAAAGGTTGACGCTTGGTGTTCGGTACATTAGTGGACTATTAAACTCGACTCACTTATGCGCATAACAAACAACGCATCGCGTACACGACGCAGTCGACAGGCGCCTTTGGAGGTGGCGTTACTTAATGCAAAATTAACAGTTAACACATTGTGTTGAATTCGCTAAAATCATTGCCTTCACAGTTTTAATTAGCTGGGGTAATTGGCGATCGGGGTGTTATCTATCCCAGAACTTATCTATTTACAAAGAGTGGAGACAGTGGAGGTCGCTTCTGATTGGTCAATTATTTCATGGAGCATCGAATAGTTCCCTCCCATAGTATTAGACTAGCAAACCATCAAAAAGGGCCTTGAAATAGGATTCCATGTTTTTTTTTTTTTTTTTGTTGTTGTTGTTGTTGTTGTTGTTGTTGTTTGTTTTTTTTTTTTTTGGGGGGGGGGGGTTTAATACATAGCATCCTTGCTTAGGATCTTGCAAAAATACTAGACAATAACATGTAGGGGTGGATTCCACGCGCCATATTTACTTTAAAATATCACTATTTGCTGATGACTCGTCGCAGCCTGTCTCCCCAACAATGATCGTGTATTTGTCTTTGTATGTATAATGGGCCCTCATCCATGATCAAAATTAAAGGTTTTCTTCACGTTATTAGATATATATTTATGTTGTCTTGCTGAAGTAAAATATGCTTTCTTGTACAGTAATTTATTTCGAATAGAAAATGCCTTCAAGTTGTATGTATTAAGGTGTCATGTCAAGAGAAAATAGATACCCGCTCTTAGTTACATTCATCTCATTTAATTTTGTTACTACAGAACAGCGGAAACCGTTAATTTTGTGAAAACAAAAATCAGAAATGGTTAGAGTATTGTAATTACATGAGAAAAGAAAATGTTAAAGCTAATAAGGTGTTTTTCTTCCTCGCTCGCTGACAATATTTTGACAGCTAGGCCGCGCCCGAGTATATATTATATCTTTTATTTCAAAATTACTTTGTTACCACACTCATTACATTTAGAAACATGATGAATAAGGGCAACGAGAAGCCCAAATAGCCTCATATTCGTGTATCAAGGTCGTGACCGAATGTATCATTTGTATTCATGTACATATGGCGGCGAGGTGCCCGCATACAGTATTTTAAATCATTTGTTAGTGTGTTGAATTTTATGTTTACCCCTTTGGAAATGTCTTTTCTTTTTTTATTCTTGCTCTTTCGTTAAATAACGAAACAAATGTGCCCACACATGTATACATAGCACTTGACAAGTGCCAGAGTAATGCAAAATAAATAATCTGTGAAGAATTTGGGATTGGGAGAAACTTTCCATTTCCTAGGAGGGTACCGTGACTAACAAAAAGTTGAAATAACGCTGCTCCAGCAAAATGTATTTCCATGCATTTTGATATGCGCAGGACATTTACCTAAAACTTACATCCTGCGTGGAAAACAGCAACCGGTAGTGGTGTTGCATAAATTATAATCAAAGGGAAATGTGTAGTAATGAGGAAGATAACGTGCTATGGTATTTGAACAAATGTTGGTTCATGCATGGGATTTTATGGGCTCGTAGCCATCTCTCAATGTGTCAGATTTTTTTCTTCTATTGAATCCTGATTGTCCACGGGGAGGTAGTTTTCCTGGGGGGGGGGGGGTAGTTGACCTCGGGGAAAATGTCCTCGGTGGGTTATTGTCCTCGGGGGGTAGTTGTCCTCGGGGATAATTCCCCGGGGAGTAATTTTCCGGGGGGTAATTTTCCTTGGCGGTAGTTTTCCGGGGGTAATTTTCCGGGGGTGATTGCCTTAGAACCTCTTTACCCCATCTTTTGTCCACTTCAGGCATGGTGTTATATTTTCACTTCATTTTGTTCTTGTACTCTTTTAACGCCTTTAACTTTATCTTCCCTTTCTTCTCCCTCTTTTACTTCTCCTTCTTTTCCCTCATCTTTTTCTTCTTCTTTTTCTTCGTCTTCCTCTTTTTTTTTCTTTATCGTCTTCTTCTTCTTTTTTCCCATTTTCCCCCTCCATTTTCGCTCCCTATTGCTTGTTTCTATACCTTTTTCCCCTCTCAGCCTTTACTCTTTCTCTTTAAATCTCTCCCACTTTTAATTTTGATAATTAACTTTGTATTTGCAAACTTTTCTCCTCACTACTTTCTACACTTTTACTGCTTTAAACGTCAGTCCTTTTTTCTTTCACATGACTTCAGTATACGTTACTTTATGCTTATTCTGATTTCTGTTTAATTGGTGTTTCCAATTGTTGCATTAAGTTATGTTTCTCTTATTTATACTGATTTATTTTTCAGATTCAATGTATCATGATTTTTTTTTTTGTATATTACATTATGTGTTATTAATTTTCTTTGTTAACTTTAGTCATATTGCTCCGGTTGTCTCATTTTTGTATGCGAGATCACTTTGCTAAATATAGAATACAAGAATCTTTTCCATATCTTTAAACTATCATTGATATCTGATAATTAAACAGTAAGTAAAATAAACCTACCAAACTACATAATACAATGAAATACTTGACTGAAAGTAGGGGAGTTTGATGTGGTGCACAATTGCACCCCTCTGCTAATAATCGAATAGTCCATAGTGTTCATGAATATTCATGTTTTCGCTTACCTCGGCAAAATGCTTGCCTATACTAAATGGGAAAATTACGGCGGGGGGTCGGATGAAATGGACATGATGAACAAATCAGAACTGATCTATGATAATTCATGCTTCTCATCCTTCGTGTGCTTGACTTATAACCTTACAATCGCGTAGTAAATTGAGTCCAAAGTTCGACTTGTTGTACATGTGTTATATAGGCAATGGCGAGCTTGCGAACTTTCAAAAGTCAATGGGACATGAGGGTTCAAATGAAAGAGCAAGTGATAACGTACGTCGGGGTTGATGTGCTTTTCGTTTAAACAAAAATGAATTTTTAACGATTTTGGGGGTAAAAGTCCATAGGCTAACGTACATGTTAGGCTGCTGGACTCTGCCGATAGGGGGCGTCACGGTTCTCAAATGAGACTAAACGGAGCTATATGAATTCGACTAAACGCCGCGATGAAAGTTTTATTCGAAATAAACCATTTTGAAGGAAAGAATGAATGAATAGTGGACTGTGCAAATTCGTGTATTTCTAAACATTCATTTGATATATAAAAATGGGTAAATCAACCATTATAGCCTAATATATCCTGATATGGTCTGCTTTATAGTCTACTTTATATTCTATTCTATTTTCATCTTGTATTCTACCTTAATATGTGTTATTATATATTTTACTTTATGTTCTTTTTCTATATTTTATATTCTGTTTTATTCTCTATTTTATCCTTCTGAATATCTTACTTTATTTCAAAATATATATTCCGATGTTTTTTCTTTTCTCCATATATTGTTTTGAAAACAGTCACAAAACAATAGAAGCAGACTGAATAAGACATAATTCAATTATTGTAAACTGGTTCATGGTTTCAATTTAATCATCCAGTACCAAATAATCAAGCAAAACTCGAGCCAGATGCAAATAAGGGTACATTTAAAGACAATAATTCATGACGTATTATTTATGTCATGATTGTATTCTTTACCTATTTCTTCTTTATATTTTACCTCATTTTCATATATGTATTTAAACATTTCTTCTCCCTCTTGATAATATTTCAGCAACGAATTGGTGGTTTGGGTAGAAATTTTGGATGTAGTATAGCAATAAATCTTGGGTACATGACGTATTGCTAAGGATAATTGTGATAATAATAATAATAAGAAAAATGATAACTATAAGAATAACACCAATAATATTGTGGTACTGCTGATATTACTACTTCTTCCTCTACTACTATTACTACTACTACTATTACTACTACCACCACTACTAGGAAAAATAAGATGAAGAAGAAGGTGAAGATATGATCGAGAAACACACATTCACATTACATACTACGTGGTAAGAGGGAAATAAGCAAGAGAAAAGGAAGGCAATGACAAGTGAAAGAGAGAGAGAGAAAGAGAGAAACAGCCTAGCCCCAAAGTAATAATAATAATACAACGTCGTTACGCGTGAGAATATTCTCTCCGCCAAATAATTCGAACATTAAAAATCCACCAAGTGGAATCAAACTGTTAAACGAATATATCATGAGTGAAATATTGTTTTTTCCTAAAATTTACCTTGACACATGAAACATGATAGAGCTATGATCGACAAAAATGATGTTGTGTTGAAAACAGGTCAGAAAGCATAAACAACTAGAATGAATAAGACATAATGCAATCATGTAAACAAATTTATTGTTCCATGTTCATCCGCCGGTAGAGGTGTCGTGTCAAACCATTCATTTTTGCAATCATTTTTTGTTTTAATTGCCCCAGACAATTGGGCAAGTGGGAATCAAGGGCCCTCATTCCTGGTTCTGGCCGAGTGGATACGTCGCCGGACTATCGGTCACAAGGTCCGCGGTTCGAGTCCCGCCGCGGCACTAATGTCCTTTGGCAAGACATTGATCTATAATTTGTCACACTCAATCCTGGTGATGTAAATGGGTACCTGGCAGGAATTAATTCCTTGAAATTGAAATTCGAATGCTGGAGCGCTGTAATGACAGCTAGGCTAAAGCCGGGGTAATAATAAATGAGCCTCGGGGAAGAATTTCTAGATAGATGAATGGCGCTATAGAAATGCTTATCTCGAGCTAGATGCACATTATTAAGGTAAACTCAAATACAATAATTTATGAAATATTGTCTATTGCTATGATTTTATTCTTTACTCATTCTTTCCTATTATTCTACTTTTTGTTAAATAATCTTCTAATGTTTTTTTCATTTCCCTTAATAATATTTCAGCAACGAATTGAGAGTTTTCGATGGATGAAATATAGCAATAAATCCTGGGCGCATAATGTATTGCTAAATATAACCAGGAAAATAAGGAGCGGAATGATACCACTACTACTAGGCCTACTCCTACATGTACTACTACACTACTGCCATTGATGATTATGCTGATGATGCTGATGATAACAATTATATATTAATTAAGATAATGATTATAATAATGATAATAATACTTATCATCATCATCACCATCATCATCATACAAATCTAATCTATCTCCGATCCTCATTAGTCATACCATAACACACGGGCTAGCACACTCTTTATAACATGTCACAGGACCGTGGATGAATAAGATATTTCATACAGCTGGGCTTGTAACAAGGGTAAACGAAGAGAGAAAAATACATTTGAAAAGAATATTCTGAAAGGAAACGGGCCTTGATTGAAATCATTTACAATGATGTTCACGCTGGTAGGTTTTTCATGTTAACAAATATTATTTTCACTGATACTAAACTTGAGGAGCGTGGGTGCTTTGAAGCTCAAAACCATGTCGAATAGATTCTTTAGAGTAAAATTACAATGGAAAACTAGGTGAAGTGTCAGCATGTCCAAATTTGGGTATTACTTTGTTCCGTTTGATACAAAGGCATTCCTCGTTACAATAATATACGAGAAAGAGAGAGAGAGAGAGAGAGAGAAAGAGATAGAGAGAGATAGAGAGCTCATAATAATATAGATATATTTATGAATAATGATAATGATTATAATAATGATAATAACACTTATCATCATCACAATCATCATCATACATATTTATTCTATTTCCGATCCTCATTATTCATACCATAATACACGGACTGGCACACTCTTTATATCATGTCACAGTATCGTAGGTGAATAACTTATATTTCATACGGTTGGCTTGTAACAAGGGTAAAAGAAGAAAGAAGAACACATTTAAAAGGAACATTCTGAAAGGAAACGGGCCTTGATTGAAATCATTTGAAATGATGTTCACGCTGGTAGGTTTTACAATTTAAAAACATATTATTTTCACTGATAGTAACCTGAGGAGCGTGGGTGTTTTGAAGCTCAAAAACATGTTTGTCGAATATATTATTTAGAGTAAATTTACGATGGAAAACTATTTGAAGTGTAACCATGTCCAAATTTGGAGATTTCATCGTTTCGCTTTCATTCAAACATTCCTCGCTACAATAAAATACGAGAAAAATCAGACAGACATATAACTGAAGTGAAAAATGGAAACAATGTTTTGGCTTCTGTTTATGACACTTTACCTGACATTCAGGTCCACTAGTACCATCCAGGTCCCCTCTAACCGAACTAATGTAGCCTTTCAAAACATGAATACACCGCTACTTATTAATATTCCAGCCTAAGATTTTTCAGAAAACATATATATTGACCAAAAGATGATAATAACTATCCATTTGTCACAGATCTCACGCTTGCTAAGCTCCACCCCTCGAAAAAAGGTAAATACGGTCACGTGGCTTGATGAAGTTAGCGACCGTAATGATCATCATCAATTCATAATGCACCCCATCTTCGTTATGAACTTGTACTGTGCAACGATTTGCCGTGAAACCTTTGAGAAAGTGCATGCTACTAATGTCTTCGTTTTCAGGAAAAATACTCCAAAAAATATAAGAAAATTGACAAGAAACAGGAAAGAAAGATAACAACTTTTAAATCATGACCTATTTTGAACAATTGTTGGAGATTGAGTTGATTTTTGGTATGTTCAACTTATAGTAGGGTATCTCCATTCAAGTGCCATTATGTATAACAATACAGCTCCGAAACTGGGCTTTTTCCTGAGCGGTCCGAGTCGTCATTTTTAAAGCTAGATTCCAGAACTATTGATGATTTCTAAGGAAAATCATTGTCATATTCGGAATCTCAGTCAAAATTGTGTCTACCTGTCTCATTCAAAAATAGTTTTAAGCCCGTTTTGATTAGAGGG